CTCTCTCTCTCTCTCTCTCTCTCTCTCTCTCTCTCCTCTCTCTCTCCCCTAAACATCACCTAATATAGTAAGAATAGTAAGTAAATACAAAACGAAACAGTACCCCTCCTTTCTAAAAAAAGAACAATAATAACCACCACTGGGACATAAAAACAAACAAACAAACAAACTGAAGTAAAGCAAAAATAAAACAACAAACAAACAAACCCAAATAAACAGACAGACACACAAAGAACTAGTTATTTTCTAACGCCACACAGAGTTCATCAGTAACATCAACACTGTCATCTAAACAGTTTGTAAGGATGGTCTGAGCAGAAAGTTCAGCAAATTTTATAACGTAAGACAAGACTGAGATAAGAAAGACATCTACATAATACTATTACATTCTCCCTCAACAATATTTTTAAAAAACGTGACTAGATCTTAAGTTGACAACATGGGCGTCTGTGGTGTAACGGTAATGCTTTTTGCTTTACACACTATAGGTGGGAGTTCGATTCTTCAGCAGTAATTTTTATTTTTATCGAGCATCTCCGTCTGTCCGCTGTCGTGTGTTGCTGGATTGATAAGTAGGGATGAAACAGCAAGCCTTCTAAATGGCCCAGATTGTGTCAATGGGTGAGTGGAACGTTACAACAATGATCATTATCATCCAGTGCCAGATCTGCGACAGACATGGGCGATCAAAGTTCTCCATTCATTCATCCGCTTGGATGCTGTTAATTTTTTTAAAAAGCTACGTTTCCCTGATCTTTCCCTGTTACCCATTTGTTTGGGTTCCCTAAGTAGGTTGCTCTGGGCCTACCCCTGCCTCGTTTGCCTTCGATTTTGCCAGTTGGAGCTAGATGTTCAAGACCCTTATCTCTATTCAGGTGTCCCTAAAACTGCATTTATTGTTGTTACCTGATTGTTTTTAACATTGAGCGTCCCACGTGGGTTTCTTCAAGTGCTACCTCCCTTGATTTCTTTTCTTTCCACGACACTCTCAGCAGCCTCCAAAGAAATCACATTTCTTTTGCTTTTATTTTATTTTCACCGTCTTTAGTGATTCTCCAGCATTCAGTTATATATAGTTAAAAACGTGACAATAAGTAGGTAAAAGACATCTGAAGCCCACCTTGTTGCTGGTCATCTCCTCATCGAACTGCCAGTCTAATTCTGGGTGGCTTTTTGGTCTGGTTGTCTTACTGGTGAATGTGTCAGAATCTCTGCTGGGGAGAAGGGAGGGACATAGAGTTAGTTATATATACTGGGGAGAGTAGGGAGAGGCATAGAATTAGTTATATCTGGGGAGAGTGGAGAGGGGCATAGAGTTAATCACATTTGCTGGGGAGAGAGGGGAGTTAGTTATATAATACACTGGGGAGAGGGGAGCGATAGAGTTAGTTACTTTTAATGGGGAGAGGGGAGGGATAGAGTTAGTCATATATATACTGGGCATGGGGAGAGGGGAGGAAGAGAGCTAGTTATTCATACTGAGGAGAGGGAAGGGACATAGAGTTAATCATATATTATACTGGGCATGGGTAGAGGGGTGGAAGAGAGCTAGTTATTCATACTGAGGAGAGGGGAGGGACAGAGCTAGTTACTTTTACTGGGGACAGGGGAGGGACATAGAATTAGTTATCTATACTGGGAAGAGGGAGGAACAGAGGTAGGCCAGTTACATTTACTGAAGAGAGGGGAGTTGAAGGAAAGCCACTCTTTACTTGTACATTGCTCATCATTATGGTACTATGTCATTGGGAGTGGGAGGGGGGGGGG